TATGCTTACGAAAGCTTTTAGTTAATTCCTAACGGATCATATTTAAGAAATTATAGACAATGTCAGTTTTTAAAGTTTTGCAAATTTACCATCAACGTTAAAAATCTCAGTACCTAATAACGACAAGAAGTTTCCGAAATTGTTCGGTTTGTCTTGTAAATGCATACCGTGCAAAAAAAATAGAAATACTCCAGTATTGGATACTTATAAGAGTATCACCGATACTTATAACAAGGTTTTAGTGTATATTATACAAGATTAGTTTGTGGCATCGAGGAGTAAATATTTTATTTTATTAACATACGTACAAGCATAACTATTTAGTTTTGGGGTAAGGTCGTCAGTCTGGTTGGACAGGCACCTCCACTCTAATCTAGGTCTACCTCTACCCCTTCTAACACCCGTTTCTGCCTTTAATATGTCTTTGACTAGACCTTCATGCCTGAGAAGGTGTCCTACAAACCTATCTCGCCTATTTCTTATTGACTTCCATAGAGTTCTCCTATTCTTTCTAATACCTGTTCATTTCTAACCTTCTCTATCCACGATATCCTCATCATTCGCCTGTGACACCACATTTCGAACGCTTCTAACCTTTTCTTTTCCACCGCGCCCACCGTCTCTTTCTTCCCTTGCATACTAGCATTTTTGTTTTACTTTTATTTATTTTCATATTATACTTCTTTTGTCAATAACGCTTCCATTGTACTTTAACAGTATGTATTTAGGGCAATGCCCATCACGAGATGTGATACCCCGATAGAATGCTCATGAGTAGAAGATCCCATGCCATGATTCCGGAATCTTTTGGATATGCCACCATTTCGAAAACAAGAAGAAATGGAAGGAAGTAAGTGAAAGATGAACAATGACCATCGCAATAGTCAACAAGAACAACAGTAAGAAATATGTGAAACAAGTAAGACAATTATTGAACTCAGATCATCGTTTAAGAGTCAAGTGTGCTGTGTGCACTCGATTGTGATTGAAAATTTGCAGATCAGAAAATTGTTCGTTCTAAATGGTTTGTGGGAGTAAACAAAAGTACCTATTGCTACATTCTTTCGACATTTTTCCTTTTTTTCAGTGAATAAGACACTGAAAGAACACCATTTTGTACAAACAGGGCAGTGGAAATGACTTCCCAACACTGTTAAAACTTTTAAATGAGCCACAACAATACTAACATCAAAAACATTGGAAAAAGATATTATTTTTAAAAATTTTGACCCGAAATCTCAAAAACATCTGCCATTTGCTTCTAAAACAATTTTTATATTCTGAGTCACAGATATTGTGCAGTATATGATTGGCTGACAGAATTTGCTTGGTACTATTATTATTATTATTATTATTAAAGACAGAATTACACGGAATTATTCCATTTTACGTATAATCTTTTTCTATTTGAACAAGATAGCCAGATACAGACACAGAGTTAAGCAAAGGTTAAGAAATAAGTGGTGCATACGTATGGAAATCCAGGCCAGTATTTTACTTGGAAAAGAATGACGTTCATAGACAATGATTTAACAAGAAAAATTAGAATAAGCAATTAAATAAATTCATGTTTAAATGGTTATTTACACGAGAACTTTCTTAATACGATGATAATCGAAGCATGTGACAACGTAATAGTCCATGTGTAATTATGAATAAGGCATGTTAATAAATCAAACGGTCATATGTACAAAGGTACCTACACACACATTAAAAAGAAAATGAATTACAGTATCATTACTGTCCATGTACACATGTTTATTTCAAATCAAATCGGTTATAAGGAGCACAGAACTTGTTCATTACAGACGGATGCTTATTAAAGGCAAAGCACGTATGAACGCCTGTGTCGAATGCGGGGCATTTTTTACCCCCGGTTATGAATATGTATGTAAAATTGAAGTGGGAAATTTCACCCCGTGTTGTGTCGAAATTGACAAGAAATTATTGGTATTCTCAGATAACACATTCGAAATAGTTGGCGTTTTTAAACTTTAATGAATAATTATAACAACTTTTAAATTTTCTAGTTTTCCATTTTGCTGGTTACGAAAATTGAAATTGGTGTTTATAAATTAAATTGTATTAATATCCAGTGAAGTGAACTTGTTGAATACCTAGTAAATGTAGAATAAAAAGCAATACTAAAATATCAATTCTTTTAAATTGAAAATCTAAGCGTGGGTTTGACACTTTGTTACTTTTAGAATTTTCCGACATTGGAAAATATCAAGAATAAAATTAGCGCTTTATTTTCAATTAATACGTTACCAAAAATTTTTTTCTTTATTCGTGTCCGTTCAAGGACAAACTAAACGTCAATAAAAATCTGTGTGAAAAAACTCAGACATTTCTATTTTGTACAAACGGCAACGGGAAATAGTTACCCTTAAGCTTACCTTAAAAACATTTTCCAACAAAAACTATTCGGTCTCTCAAAGACAGCTAGTTATTTTTAATATCCGGCTCGAAGGACCATTTATCTATTTTACATTCGCTTTACCTCACTTATAAATTTTTAATGTTAACAATTTATAAGCAAGATACTTATTTTCGTTATCAAACCTCTCCGCTAGCCAACTAATTTCTAAATTATCAATAAGACCAGCCTTTATTTAGTATTTTTAATAAAAATTATAACATACACTCTGCAGCAAAAATAATTTATGAAAACTTTGAAAATAATTCTGTTCTGTGTCTGTATCCAAACAAGACAATCTAAAAACTTCATTTCAGACGAAATCTACTCCGCTGGCCATTTATCGATTCCGGAATCTTTTAATAAAAATTGTCCGCATCATTATGGTATATACATAACGTATAATGCCTAAAGTCTAGTTTAATTTGAAGATGTTGGTAAATTTGAATTTCATAAAATAACGCCACCATAAGTGTCCCTACTAATATAATATATCCTTGTACCCAATCCCGACACTTCACAATGTGAATTAACGAAATGAAACGGTTTCTAAGAAAAGCGCGTGCTACTGTAAGCACACACCACAATATATTATTATGTACACGTATGCAGCGAAGATGTGACCTTATTTATAACATATGAACATTTGTTTCACCACAATTCTCAATGTGATTTCTTTAATGGATTCAATCAAAATAATAATTACACAAACTTGATTAATAATTTCGCTATCACGCAGTAAAACGGAGAGTTGGTTCAGGCATTAAATTTTATCACAATTTTAATGTATTTGATTTTACTGGCTTTACGCTAGTTAAAGAGGGACATATGTACATGACGTGCCTTCCGACACACATGTTCTAATTCTACGGCAACGAACCCTGATGATGATGACGATGAGTGTAAAATGCACGTGGCTTCATATACATATACGCATCAAATAATTGAAGATGAAATGTCTAGAAAATTGAGGAAATATTTTATCCTCATTAGGGTGAATTGTAAGTTAATTCTTTGTAAATATAACGCGCTGATATTTGTACAATCCGTGTTTTTACATTCTAGACGATTTTCTCGAATAACTTTTTTGATTAATAATAAGTTTTTGGGAAAAGCACTCACTAAAAATACTCCAGACCCTATTAACCACAAAGCTCCTACTTAATGTGCTTTAGCCCTTAAAGCTTCAATTACATTTTAAAATTCTAAGACTGTCAATTACCAATTACATTCTCCTTTCACCCCCTCTTTATAGTCACTGTGTGGTCAAAGCCCTTTTTTGATTACAAATCCCTAAATACTTTAAAAGTTCCTCATTTTTATAAAGCAATTCAATTACTAAGCCATAACGACTTGTTTATCAGCTATCATTTTAATTAAAAAGCACAGCTGGATAAAGCCCTTCCCAAACGAGCCTTTAAGTCCTAAGCCCAAAGCCATTACCTAAAGTGCTTCAGCCCAAGAAGCCCTAAATATGTGTATACATCTTACAATCCAGAGACATCGAATCAGAACTGTCCTTTCAAGTCTTGAAAGCACAGCGATTCAAGCCCTTTCGTCTAGTCGTTGGAAATTGGTAAACAAATTACTTTATAAAAATGCTTTCTAATGTGTAATTCAAAAAGCTTCAAAGTATTTTAAACCAATTGGAATCTAACTGCTAATCGATTATAAATGTTATTAGGACTTCAATTGAGGGCTTTGTGCTCAACTCTTATGCACTCTGTAACTGCTGGATACTCTTTGAATTACAAAGCACGTTTATAGCCCCACTTAATTCTTGCTCATAAAAAGACTTCAATCATTAAGTCCTGAAAGTACTGCAAGCACATCTTCGAGAACAAACCACTAAAACTCTATTATAATTTTACTTAAAGCACACAAAGCTCTCATCAAATAAATCTAGTCCTAAACCTACAGTGCTTTAACCTTTGAAACCTAAATTAAGCACTTATTACAAAGCACTGTTATAAAGTAATTCATTTACCAAGTTCCGACTAATATATTTCCTTAAAACCACTGCTTCTGAGCCCTGAAAGCACTGCAATCGCATTTACAAGCCCAAAGCACTAAACCTCTATCAATTTATTTAAAAAACATAGCTCTCACCAAGAAAGCTTACAGTCCAAAACCCCGAAAGTACCGCAAGCGCATTTTCAAACACAAAGCTCTAAAGCTCTATCAATTTACTTAAAAAGCACAGCTGGGTAAAAAAGCTCTAGTCCTACCAACGTTCTTTAGCCCTTAAGTAGTCAAAAACCAAAATTTATATAAGGAATGCTTCGCGTAATTAATTAGATATTACAAGAAATGAAACTTTTAAGTAAACATATTATATTATATTAATTAATCTGCGTACTGCAACGTTTATTGTCATGAGAAACGTGGGCAATAATATTTATTACTTTAATGAAACCAAGCTTCCATTCATAAAAGTATCTATGTACAACTATTTCACAATCGGTAATAAAATATCTTTACTATTATTCATCCCGCGAACAAAAGAGATAGAGATAATAAAAATGTAAATATACCATCGTTTCATTTCATTCTGTCAACATACGTACGCATATCATTACGTAGCCCGTTATTAGACCGGTCCCACGGCCGCCTTTTACATATAAAAGCCGGGCGAAACAGCGGCAGGCAATTTTTTTCTTATTTTGCTACGCGACAAAATACTTACAATTAACAACACATTTTTTTTTTCGTAGTGCCTTATTTTATTGTTTTCAAAATACGCGTGTTTTTCAATTATCCGATGATAATAATACGTCACTGAATAATTAATTAATCAAATTAAGTGTCGACTGGTGACTTTGTTATTTATTTGTGTATCAGTCCCGGAGACTCCCTTGTTCTAGTTCTTCCACGACAATATCGTGCACAATAAGACGCTGATTGTAATTACTAAATTACCCCCTTGATAGCGGCAATTTCGAAGAACAAGAATCAACCCTGTAAAGAGGCTGCATAATAGGATAATTTAAGCAACAACCACAGCGTTGCCACCACCACCCTACTACTACAAACTGAATAAAGAGGTGTCAAAAATAACAAGTGGTCGTACGGACGTACGGGACGCGTGGATATATAAAAGGAAACAGGCGGGATACTTTTCAACTAGTGCCATATTCGACATCGTACAGGAACAACTCCATCCTGATGGTGAGTAAAAAATAAATAAATATTTCAGTTCATTAGTTCATATTTGTTAGAAAATATTCATAAGTAATAATTTTAAAGTTAGCATTAATTTTATTTTGCCCACTTTACCTANGAGATCATCCCAAATTAACTATCTTTTGATTTTATTGTTAGGGTTCTGTATCCCCTTATGCTTACGAAAGCTTTTAGTTAATTCCTAACGGATCATATTTAAGAAATTATAGACAATGTCAGTTTTTAAGGTTTTGCAAATTTACCATCAACGTTAAAAGTTTTTCATTAGGACGTACGGAACCCTAACCCGTGAACCAACTTAACATTGCAGTTGAAAAAAAAACCTGTTCTTCCATACATCGTACACACAATATTGTTTTATTGAAAGATTTACCACGTTATGTTCAGACCATAGACTTGTATTTTTTTTTTCAAAATTTTAGGTTCAGCAGTTTCGGAGATAAGAGGGGGATTGGTCAATTTTCATCTAGTTTCTTAAATAACTTTAAAACAATTTGTTTTAAAATTATAAGGAAAATATATTTAACACCCTTACAACAAGCCCTTTCATATGATATATCACCCGGTACAGTTTGCAAAACTTTTTTTTTTAATTTCCTATTGGCCCCCCAAAAATGATCCCCATGCTCAAAATTAATTTCATTGTGTGTTTCATTATCATCATAAGGTCGTCAGTCCTAAGACTGGTTGGACACGCACCTTTCCCTTCCTGAGCTAATCATTTTCATAAAACTACAACATCCCACATCCTTAACTATTTGCGAACAGAAATCTAATCTAGGTCTACCTATACTCCTCTTAACTCCTGTTTATGACTCTATTATGTCTCTGACTAGACCTTCATGCCTGATAAGGTGTCCTACCAACTTATCTCGCCTATTTCTTATTGACTTCACAGAGTCCTCTGTTCTCCTATTCTTTCTAATACCTGTTTATTTCTAACCTTCTCCATCCACGGTATCCTCATTATTATCCTGGAACACCATATTTCGAACGCTTCTAACTTTTTCTTTTCTGTCGCGTCCACCGTCCATGATTCGCACCCGTACAGCGCCGCGCTCCAAACACACCTTTAACAATCTTTTTCGAATACCTAAATTAACCGTTTCGCGAGCATATAAGTGACTTCTTTTTATTGAAGGCGACTCGACCCTGCGCTATCCTGTGCTTTATATCCCTACTACCTGTTCCGTCCTGACTTATCTGACTTCCTAAATACCTAAAGTCAATCACTTCTTCTAATTTTTCGTATTTTATCTTTTTTATTTTTGTTGTTTTGTCTACACCTCTTCCAGTTTATTTAAAACTTAAACTTAAAACTTCTGCTTGCTAGACGGCTCCTGCTATATCATCTGCAAATCTAAGCATACTAATCTTTTGCCCCTGTATATCTATCCCTACAGTTGCACTGTCTTCAATAATGTTATTCTTAGCGAGGATAAAGGGGTCCGAGTGATAATTTTTTTTGGACAAGTGAATATTTATCAAGCAAAAGCAATTTCATTCGTGTGCACCTTTTTATATTAGAAATCCAGCTACTATTACATTGAAATTTTAGGAAAACACGCCTTTCTTATAGTTATACTGTTAATATTTTATTCCTACCTTAAATTAATGAATTGTATAAAAGTTGAATATTCCTATATTTTGTTTTATTATTTTTAAAGTAGATAATAATTTTACGGATTACTTATTGCGTCAGTGGCAAGTGTCAATAACATGGAAAATGCTATGTATCGTACTTATATAAGGGTTCCATTTGAAATGATAATTTTTTCAGAAAGAGAAACCATTACCATAAGCAATAAATTCGGGGAAGTAATTAATAATACAATCTCTGTGTGTACGAAGATGGTACAATACATTAAGTGAATAAAAATAAATATTTATTAGTTCCAAGATAATTTTCGACGTTCGTTAGATTTCCACGAATAAAATGGCACTATGCCTACATCCACAGTTGATTTCGCAAAATTTAAGTATAGGGTTGTTCGGAAAGTCATTTCGTTTTTTCTTGTGGAAATGAAAGACAGTTTTCGTATAATAAACAAATACTTTATTAAATTATATATTGACCGTTCTGGTCCAACACCTTTTGCCATCTTTCTGGTAGTAGCATAATTCCACGCTCATAAAATTTTTGGTCTTTGCTGGCAAAAAACTGATC